TAGGATTTGCATACATTTCTTCAAAACTAATAGCAGCAACTAAACAGCTATGAATGTGGAGAGTCCTCAATTACAGAACCCAGATTCACGTACAATTTTGACTTACACATGTGCAAGTAGGAAAATAGGATCCATATGTTGGAAGAGAAGTACATGAAAAATGCTACTTAAGTAGCTTTTGAACTATCAAATAATAATCCATAGAGCAAAATATTATGTTGGTCTCAGGTTCATATCTGGAGAAAAAAAATGCCGTCGCAAGTTACATAGAGAACAAACAGGTCAGAGCTCAAAAGCTCGAAAATCTAACTTACCCCACCAATACACAATCAAATTTCATTGTATTACTATCTGTAGGGCATATACAAGCAAGAAAGAAACTTTTCTCTTTATACTATAATGAAGATATTTTCTTTTGCAGTGTATTAGATCATACATATGATACAAGGAAAAACAAAGTTTTAAACTTTCCTAATATCAAGGGAAATTGAAGTCTTTTGGCAAATTTCACAAAGCCACCATCAAGAAATGTGGATACAGGACAGAAAATCACTACTCATAAGGGGCATAACAGCAATAATAGAAACATTCAAGCCAGCTTCACAAAATTAAAACTAAATCTTGCTCAAGACTTGATAAACTACCATCATCAGAATTCAGAAATTCCAACAATAAATGAATGAATTTTCACTTTTCACTCAAAAAGACAGTTGATAATATCGGTAAAACCAATCTAAACACAACCCAGAAACAAGTATTCTAATAATTGACTACTATTCAATTCAAATTCAACAATCCAAACAGCTCGCTAATGTATATAAATGAATTGAAAATGAAATAAATATGTGAATAAAGAGAACAACAAGTAAAGAAAGAGACCATCAGCGGCCATTGCAGAAACAGAGAATTGTTTTCTCATGTTTTTTTGGCGGCGTGAAGTGGAGAGTTTGGAAGAACTGAAGCCCATACGGACGCTTCCCAAGAACTGAGAAAACGAAGAGGAAATCGGAGAGGAAGAAGAAGAAGAAGAAGCCCGAGGGCGAAGAACCAGAAAGCGAGCAGGGAAAAGCAGAGGCTTTCGATGAGACCCATTTAGATTGCTGACTGTGGAAGCAGAACCCGTTAATCTGAGTGTGTCTGCGGCCATTTTTATCCCTTGGGTCTCTGCTTCTCTGTTTCTCTGTTTGGCCCCTTCGTTCACTGGGTTTGTGGTTGTATATTGTTGGGGATAACAATAAGCAATTCCCTCTTTAATTAGAGGCGTTCATGAGGATTTCTATTATTTTTCAGAACCGCAGATGATTTTGTGTCATCTTAGCACTTTTACATTTTCATCCTTCTCTATCACCAATAATTACTAAACCCCCCCTTTGGCCAGGGTTTTGATTTTGGCTTTTATTTTCGAAAATAGTTTTACAATGAAATGAGTAAGATTTAAAATATTTTGAGTCATAGTTAAAACAAAAATATACTTCTAACATGTGTAAATACACAAAGTTACAACATATAATTACAAAAGACAAGAGTGAACATCTTCTTTGTTCCTCCAAATCTATAACAAATTCGGAGATTTCGAAACATCCAAATGCTCTTCCTAAATTAGAATTCTCTATTTAAAATCATCCCTAGTATTTAATAATCAAGAAACAACAAATTTTAAATTGTTTCTTTAATAGAAAATCTTTATTAAAAAATTAATCATATTTTAAAATTAAATAAATTTGTTAACAATTTAAAAATATCGTAAAAACTTAATCTTATTCAAGTTTAGTAAAATTTATCATTGAACTAAAAATTCAAAAAATAAAATAAAATCAACTTTATTTGCAATCCAAATGATTTAAATTTCAAATCAAGAACTTATTGAAATAAATAAATATTTTTAATAAATAAAAATTTAGTATATAAATATTGTCAAAACCTTAATAGCTATTTAGTATTATTCAAGGACATTTAGATTAATTATGTTAAAAAAAAACACTCATTCTACTTATGAAAGATTTATCGTAGTTTCTATAGTTATTCCGAAATATAAATATATAATAATATGATATTATTTCTCTTGCAATGAAAATAA